TGGTGGTTGTGGTAGGGTGGTGGTGTTTGGGGTGAGGGTGGTGGTGGTTTGTAGGTGGTGGTGTTGGGGTGGTGAGGTGGTTGTGGTAGGGTGGTGGTGTTTGGGGTGAGGTGGTGGTGGTTGTGGTAGGGTTGGTGAGGTGGGTAGGGGTGGTGGGGTGTTAGGGTGGGGTGGTGGTGGTGGTTGTGGTGGGGTGGGTAGCTCGCGTGACAACTCTCTCCACCAGCAATAATAATCGATTAATGGCTTAATAAAATAGAACCTTTATGGGGTGGTACCAATCTCGTTGGGGGTGTGGGGGAGGGAGGGGGGAGGTTATAGACCCTGTGCGGGACTTAAACATTCGTCCAAGCGCACACACCCACACCTTCCCTTCACGCTGAAACATTTTACAACGAGGTGACACCAATGGGGGGGAATATATTGTTTATTAACGTCATCAACTCTTTGGACCTCACCTCAGAGTCACAACAAAGTGCTATCACCCTCACAAGCCGCCACATAATTTAACCCTATCACCATCACAAGGGTAACAGCCAATCAGAAGACGGCTGTGTACCATACCCCCACCTGTGTCCCATCAGTGTCTCATGTTTACGCACTTTCCGGTCACGTGGCTCTCAGCTTGTTCACCCAGCAACCTGGATCAATGCGTGATCAACCCCACCCTACCCCCCACCCACACCCACCCCACCCCCCACCCCCCCTCCCACACCACCTAGTTTACAAACACTCTGATCAATGGGTACTCCTCCTCGACGTGCAGGCCAATCAAAAGAAGAGCCTCCCGTAAGTAAAACACAGGCGTCTCTCTTTAACACCAGATTACATTTCCATTCCTGGGGGCTGCACCGTGTGGTAGGTCGCCATGCCTTCCTCAGTATAAGCGAGGACACTTTTAAACCTGTCCCGTGCTTTCATTATTAACGAGAGGTAATATTAAATACAACCAATTATAAATAATAACGAATACATTTATCTTCATCGCTAGGTTTCATGATATCCCAACTTATTGTTTTCGCCATATTAAGTGTCGGTGGAGAGTGTGATTCGCTATGATATTCCATCCAGTAAATATTCCTCCCGCCATATTAATATCCGTGAGAGTATTCCGTCTCTCATCTCATCTAATATCTTCTTATTAAATAAATCAGAATGATCATCGCCTCTAACGTAAAAATAGAACAATATTTTCCTTCCTTCTCACCAGGTTAATTATCCCTTCTTTAGCACCTGTTATATGTAGTAATAGCTATTTTATCTGTAGTGTTAAACCCGAGTGGGCCACAGGTACAACAGGTGGGCCACAGGTACAACACAGGGCCACAGGAACAACAGGTGGGCCACAGGAACAACAGGTGGGCCACAGGTACAACAAGTGGGCCACAGGAACAACGGAGTGGCCACAGGTACAACAGGTGGGCCACAGGTACAACAGGTGGGCCACAGGTACAACAGGTGGGCCACAGGAACAACAGGTGGTCCACAGGTACAACAGGTGGGCCACAGGTACAACAGGTGGGCCACAGGTACAACAAAGTGGGCCACAGGAACAACACGGTGGGCCACAGGTACACAGGTGGGCCACAGGTACAACAGGTGGGCCACAGGTACAACAAGGTGGGCCACAGGTACTAGGTGGGTCACAGGTACAACAAGTGGGCCCACAGGAACAACCTGGGTGGGCCACAGGTACAACAGGTGGGCCACAGGAACAACAGGTGGGCCACAGGAACAACAGGTGGATCAGGTACAAC